CCTCTGTGGCCAAAGAAGAGAGTCTGGGCTCACCAGCGGAGGAAATACGTCAGCTGAGACATAGCATTGAAAAGCTCAGAGTCCGCATCGCAGAAGATGAAAAGAAGCAGCTTCATGTCTTAGAAAAACTGCAGGAAAGTGAGCAAAATGCAGATTTGCTTAAGGATAGAGTAGACAACCTCGACAGAGAACTCGAGGTTGCAGGAAAAAACCAAGAGCTTGTCATTCTTGATGCTGAGAATTCCAAAGCGGAGGCAGAGACTCTCAGAATAAAAATGGAAGAACTGGCCCAGAACCTGAGAGATCTGGAATTAGAGCTTGCCAATATAAAGTCAGAAAAAGAAAGTCTGACGAAAGAGTTACAAACCGAGCAAGGGCGAGTGTCTGAGTTAGAAATACTGAATTCTTCATTTGAAAATCTGCTGCAAGAAAAAGAGCAAGAAAAAGTACAAATGAAAGAAGAATCTGAAATTGCAGTGGAGCTGCTTCAGACACAATTAAAGGAGCTAAATGAGAAAATGGCAGCTATGTGTGTTGACCAAGAGGCACGTACAGCCAAGGAACAGAGCCTGCGTGGTCAAGTAGATTCTCTCGAACGTGAGAAGGCTCAGTTGCTACAAAGCCTTGAAGAGGCCAAAAATAATTACATTAGATTGCAGTCTTCCGTGGATGACCTCGTTCAAGAAATAGAAGATGGCAGATGGAAACTAGAGAAGAAGCATGAAGAAATCAGTACACTGAAAAGTCAAGTTCAAGACCAGGAACTGCTCGCCTCTAAGCTGTCCCAGGTGGAAGGAGAGCGGCAGCTTTGGGAGAAGCAAAAAACAGAACTGGGAAATCTGATAATGGAGTTGGAGCAGAAGGTCCAAGTGCTGCAATCCAAAAATGCCAGTCTGCAGGACATATTAGAGGGGCTGCAGAATTCTTACAAGGATCTTGAGAAAGAGCTCGAGGCAACAAAAATGGAAAAGATATCCTTTGTTGAAAAGGTAAGTGGCTTAGTCTACTTACATTTATTATTGTTTTAAATAATATTTTGTGTTTTTGGTGAAGGTTTACACAGCAGTTTAGGTTCCCATTCAACAATTTCTACACAAGTCGTTCAGTGACACTGGTTACATTCTTCACAATGCATGAGTGTTCTCATTATTTTCGTTTTGGTTGTTCCGTTTCCATTAATCTAGTTTCCCTGCCCCCTTACATTCTCATCTTTGTTTTAAAGTAATTGTTGACCATTTGGTCTCATATAGGTGATTTTAAAAGGAGCACAGTATTTATGGGTGATATTCATTATTTTTTGAGCCAATTTTTCATTTAGCTACAAGGTGATCTTAGGGGTTAGTTTTGGTTCAAGGTTTGAAGAGTATCTCAGGACAGTAGTCTTGGGGAATCCTCCAGTCTCAACCAGTCTGGTAGGTCTTTTTTTTTTTTCCAGAATTTGAGGTTTTGCTCTACATTTTTCTCCCATTCTATCAGGGTCCATCTGCTGTGGCCAAGATTAAAGCGGTTGGTAGTGGTAGCTGGGCACCATCTAGTTCTTCTGGTCTCAGGGTAGATGAGACCATGGTTTGTGTAGACTATTTGTCCTGTAGACGAGTTTCTTCTTTGAGTTTTTGTTCCCTTCTTTCTCTTTTGCTCTGGATGAGTAGAGACCAGTCGTTATATCTTAGATGGCCACTCACAAGCTTTTAAGATCTCAGACACTACTCACCAAGCTAAGGTATAGAACATAACTTTATGGACTATAGTATGCCAATTGACCAGATGTCCCACGAGACTATGATCCTAATCCTTCAAACCCAGAAACCCAATCCTGAGAGGTGTTTGGTTACGTCTAGTTAATCTATTTACATTTAAATATGTAGTCATGAGGGAGGGAAACCACTCCGAATTAGATTGCCTTCTAGACAGTGTTGGCCATGGTGGACTAACTTCGTGTAGGCTGTAAGTTGGTGGGGACTTGCAGCCTGGCAGGACCGAGTCTGCTCCTCTGACAGTAATTCTTTCTTCTGATGCATGTTCCCGTGGGACACGTCCATGGATTGGCCCAGGATCTTCATGCAACACCTTTACGTAGGGTTGTGCACGGTTCGGTTTGTAATTATTTTTCCCTTTCTCACACTTGATCAGAATGGGAGCATCCCCATACCCAGTTGAGAACCACTGCTACCAAGAGTGTGTCGATGGCAGCCCCTGACACGTGTTACAGAGTAGAACTGCTCCAGGGGGTTTTCTTGGCTGTAATCTTTACGGAAGCGGTTCACCAGGCCTATCTTCCGTGAAACTGCTAGATGGGTTTGAACCGCCAGCCTTTGGGTTAGCAGCCGATCTCAAACTGCTCATGCCTCCTGGTCTCCTGCATGAGAGGCTAACAGACATGAACTAGGACCAGAATGTGCAGGTACCCCCCCACACCCTCCCATCTTTTTGCCTTGTGGAGAAAGAACTATTGAAGATACTGATTTAATTGTAACCAACAAAACAGTCCCGGCTCCCAGGAAATGTCCTGGAGATTTTGTACCTTCTGTTTTGCACAGTTAGCTAATATAAAAAGGAAGATCCTGTGAGCAAGGATCAGTTATTAAAGAAAAATGAAAGTTTTGCCCAGATCTAGGAAAGTGAATTCCTTCAAACTAGATTTTTTCTTGAACAAATATTAAGAGGAAAAGGGAGTGTTCAGAAATGTGATTAATCGTAAGTCTGTATTTTCTAAAAATCTCAGATTTTTATATATCTTGCAAGAGATGGCCGTTACTACACAGACATGCGGCAAAACTATTCCCAGGCGGTTTCAACTTCAAGGGACAGATGCAAACAATAGAGCTTTAACGGGTTTAACTCATCACAGGCTTGTTTTTTGCAGATTAGTATGGCACTGGGGGTTAGCAGAGATCCAAGAACAGATGAAAATCTAAGAAGCTGCCCCATACAGTATTCTCTGATGTTTAAGTTTAATTTGAAATAATACCTTCATGAAGGCAGGCTTTCAAGACTTGATAATATTGTCTGTCTTCCCCATTTCTTTCTTTATTGCTGTCTACTGTTAGATCTTTGCTGAAGAGAGAAGGTAAGCTCACCAGTAGGTTTTGAGAATATTAGTTAAGTGGATTAGTAAGGTGAACAATAACCGGGTTCCATTTTATTATTGAAGAAGAAAGTAAATGTTGTGAGTGTGTTGTATCAGGGCGGTTAATTTGACTCAACAGACACCATAAGCAGAGCCTAAGGAAAGACTGCATTTCAGGTAAACACAATGACCATGAAGGGCGCGGAGCTGCAGAGAGAAATGGATGAGATAGTACAGAAAACAGCAGCATCCAAAGAAGAATCTGACCGAGAGAAAGATAGGCTCGCCGGAGAGTTAAAATCAGCGTCGGAAGAAATAGAGAGCAGCAAAGTAAGTTTCTCTCTGACAGGTTCATTCTGCTCTGATATTTGGTGTGTACGCTCCCCTTGTTTTTATCTTTGTGGGACACTGGTAACGTACCAGCCTTTTTAGCTCTTGAATAAAATAACCCTGAGTTTGTGTTAAGGTTGGACTTGAGTAATCGCAACCACCCAGCGCTGTCACAAGACTGGGAGAAGTCACATGTGGCCTCTGAATACACGAAAATACCAGCCTCGGAGCCCAGATAGTTTTTCATCGATGAGGACCCTTGCGCTACATTAACTCACCTCAGAAGTAGATTTTAGGCCTCCGGTTTTCTAGCCGGCCACAGATTGTCAGCCAGAATTTGCTGCAGATGTGCACTGACAGTTACTGAGAACTAAAAAAGCAACAGAAGGGGAAGTCGCAGTCGCAGTGAAATGTGCTGTTTCAGAGTAGGGTGAAGGGGGCAATCTGCAGCACTTGGACTGCCCTCCCCGTGGCCATCCTCATAGCAAACATCTGCCCTGGCATCGGTTCTGACCCATGGCAGCCCCAGGTGTGTCAGAGCACAGCTGTGCTCCATACTGTTTTCAGTGGATGATGTTTGGGATTACATCACCAGTTACTTTCTTCCGAGGCATCCCTGGGTGGACTTGAACCTCTAACCTTTCAGTCAAGTGCATTAACTGCTTGTACCGCCTGAGGACTCTGTTCCCGTTGCAGACATTGTGAACTCATGACCTTTTCTTCCTCCCGAATCTCGCCACACTGTGCCCCTGTAGCATCTGCCACTCCGGCAGAGCTGGCAGGTGAAATGGAAACCTGTCTTCTAAACCCGGTGAAGTGACAAACCTTCCTGTATCCGTAAGGTTCTCTGAACTTTAGTCCCTAAGTATCACTTAGAAGGGGACAGAAAAATAGCAGACAGTCATGACGATAACCTTGAATTGTCACAAAAAGTTGAAATAATATCTGTAGCGCCCTGTAGTCTTTAAATGCACTATTTAATCTAGTTCAGATAGACAAGTTTTGACATGTAATCTCGGTTATCGATTGTTAGAATTTTCTGGCAATGCTACACAGGAAGGGATTCTCATGACTTGTGCTGGAATAGAGAATCTGCTGAAATCTCGTTTGGTGCCAGAGCTTGGGGATACCCCCAGTATGTTGTTAGATGCATTGCGTTCTTAGGCTCTGTTTATTAGTTGCTGTCAAGTTGATTTTGACTCATAGCGACCCCAAGTAACAGCAGAACTGCCCCATAGGGTTTCCTAGGCTGTAATCTTTACGGGAGCAGATTGCTAGGCCTTTCTCCTGCGGAGCTACTGGACGGGTTCAAACTGCTGACCTTTTGGTTAGCAGAGGAGCGCTTAACCATCGCATCACCAGGCTCCTTCCTTAGGCTCTACTAAGAGAAGAAGCTTGATGTTCAACCTTAGTCCTATCCATGTGACTGTGTTGGTTTGCAGTGACTTTACTCATTCATTGATTTATTCAGTCCGGAAATACTAAGCACTAGTGAGAACAGGGGCTAGAATGTTGAACAAGACAGCTATGCTTCCTGTACACAGTAAATCATTAAATAGTAATGTTTAATATGACCTTAGACTGGGTAAGTGCTCTAAAGGAAAGAAGGGGGATTCTCTGACGTGGACTAGTTGAGAGCGGGGTGTGGGCATATCAAGCAACGTGAATTAGATGGGGTGGTCAGAGAGTGTCGCCCGCAGGGTGAGCAGCCGGCAGAGCATGGCGGGGAGGAGGAAGGAGCTTGCTGGGTCTGGTGAGCTGTGTGGTAAAAGCTCTGCTGTCAGAAGGAGCTTTGTGTTTTTTAGAAGTTGAACGGAAGCTATTGTGGCTGCGGCCAGAGGGGAAACGCCATGAAGAAGGAGTGGAGAGGTGGGAAGGCCGTGGTAAAGAGTTTGAATAAGATGTAAAGTGACAATGAACACACGAGTCTGCGGTTTAGGACGGAAATACTAATGTGGCCAGTTCAGTGTATAGATAGTATTTAAATTCTGGCAGTGGAAGAAGGAACAGGTGGAGGTGAGAAGGTGGCTTAGAGGACCTTCAGCCTGTGAGGTAAGATGGATGAGGAGAAATCAGTCAAGAAAACAGGAGACTTGACCAGACAAGCCAGCAGAGGGTCGTGCTCCGAAGCCAAGAACAGAGGCTGTCTCGGGAAGCAGACGTGGCCAGCAGCATCAGTGCTTCCTAGAGGTCACCTGAGAGGTGACCCCCTGGGGCTTGGCCGCATGGAGGTCACTGGTGCCAGGAAATGCCAGTTCAGAAGGTGCTGGAACGAAGCCAGATTGGACGAGGTTGAGGAGTGAATGGGAGGTGAGGGAGTGGACACAGCCCATAGAGACAAGTGTTCTGCTAAGCTTGGCCCTGACGGGGAGCCCGGAAATGGGGCGAACGCTGAGAGATGTGGGTCAAGAGAGGGCTTTTACAGAAGAGAGCACGTTTCTGTGCTGACGGGAATAATCCGGGAGACTTGTAGAGAGGGAGGCCCAGTAACTGGAGGAGTCGACCCTTGAGAAGGAGAGAGAGGGGGCGTGGGGACCCAGAGCACAAAAGTAGGGACTGGCCTCTTCTCTCTCTCTCTGTGAGTTCTTTTTGTTTTGTTTTGGGTTTTATCTATCGTAAATGTATGTGATAAAATATTTGCCACTTCACCAACCTTCACATGTACAGTCAGTGACATTAATCAAGTTCTTCATGTTCAACCATCACCCTTATCTGTTCCCCAAATTTCCTGGTGCCCTTAACAGAAGCTTGGCGTCCCCCCAAGCGTTGAGTCCTCCCTTCCGCCCCGGTAGAGGCTGGCCTTTGCAGCCTAGGGAGAGAGAGAAGTGTCGAGAAGGAATGGGAAGATGGCACTGTAGGTAGTCTCCTGGAGATTGTGGGGAACTGAGCGAGCTTCCAGACAACGGCTCCTCTTTTCTGAGTGAATGAAACGTGTGTGTTTCTTGGGGGATTGTTTGTGACTTGATGCAAGGAGAGATGACCACGAAATGGTCTTCTTGAAGAAAGGGAAGGGAGAGAGAATTACAGTCAGGCTGCTGTGCAGCATGGAGTGCTTTTTTGAGGTTTCTGTTAGTTTCCCCCAGAAACAGGCTGTAGGGTCACGTGTGGAACACAGATGCGTCCAGGGTTGGGGTTTTGCCAGCCCTGCCCAATGGAGGGAGAGAGGGCAGAGGAGCTGCAGGCATTTTGGAAGGAAACTCATAGTGAAAGGACATGAAATCTAAGCTGGAAAAGGAAGAAAATGAAGGCTGGTAATTCTGGAGAGATTGAAGGTAGAGGTGGTGCTGGTGATGAGGTCAAGGAATTGCTGCAATGGGCGCAGGGGAGAGCAGGTTTCGTCCAGGGGGGTTTAGCTGACTTTGAGACTCAGCGGCTCTGTGTTCTCTGTGGATGTGACCTTGGTGGTCAGTGTTGGGCTGGGGCAGAGGACAGCATCACTGGCGATGAAGTCGCAATTTTAAGACAGTGCACTTCTAAGGATTATAGCTCTATTCTATACAGATTCTGTCTTACCCGTAAACAAGGTTTTCCCTCATTACTCCGTATTTGCTAAAGATATAGATCCAGGTTCAATATTGCCCCATGATTTCATTACTTCTCTGTTCAGGTTCAACTGAAAGAGCTCATGCTGGAAAACAGTGAATTGAAGAAGAGTTTGGATTGCGCACACAAAGACCAGGAGGAAAAGGAGGAGAAAGCGAGAGAAGAAATAGCTGAATATCAGCTGCGGCTTCAGGAGGCCGAAAAGAAATACCAGTCTTTGCTTCTTGATGTGAACAAACAGGTAAAACACGGGGTTTGGTTATGGGCAGTGGGGAGCTGGAGGCCGGGGGTGTTGGCACAGTAAGTAATTAGGCGTGTTTAGCAAGATCAGTATTCTGTATTATTATTATGCTATATGGTCTTAAGAAGGGCTGCATCATATTATCCTTTCCCTGGGTGGTACGAATGGTCTGCCCTTGACTACTAACCTTTAAAGGTTGGCAGTTTGAACCCGTCCAGCAGTGCCGTGGAAGAAAGGCATGGCAATCAGCTTCCATAAAGACTGCAGCCAAGAAAACCCTGGGGAGCACAGTTCTACTCTGTACCACGTGGGACCGCCATGAATTGGAATTGACAGCAATGTTGTTTTTTTGTTGTTCCCCAGTTACCTGTACATGTTTTATTTTATCTGAACTTTTAGTCCATTTTTAACCTGGAGTAGAGTAGGAGAGTTGCAGAGACTATTTGAAATGGTCCTTGGAACAGCAGTTTTGTTTTTCCTACAATTTTTTTTTAGCAGAGCCTCCTTGCTAAAGTAACATCTTTCTGTCCTAGTATGAAATGGAAATCCAGACTTATCGCGAGAAATTGACTTCTAAAGAAGAATGTCTCAGCTCACAGAAATCGGAGATGGACCTCTTAAAGTCCAGTAAAGAGGAACTCAATAATGCTTTAAAAGCTACCAATCAGATTGTAGAAGAATTGAAGAAAACCAAGGTATGTACATTTTTCATTATTTCATGACTTGTGATGTTTTAGCCAGGTAATAGTGTATTTTTTTTTTCAGCGTGGTAACAATATATATAACGAAACATTTGCCATTTCAAGATTTTTTATGTGTACGGTTCAGTGACATTAATTATGCTCATCACGTGTACAGCAATCACCTCTGTTTCCAAAACCTCCCATTGCCCTTCACAGAAACTCCATGCCCCTTAAGCAATGAGCCTCCATTTCCTCTTCCCCTCAGTCCTGTGAACCACTATACTTTGGCCTCTGTGCATTGCCCACCCGAGGTGTTTTATGTCTGTGGGATCAGAGCATGTTCGTCCTTTTGTGTCTGACTTCAATGTCACCAAACGTAATGTGTTTAAGGTTCTTACACCTTGTGGCGCGTATCAGCACTTCATTGTTCTTTATGGCGGATAATATTCCACGGTGTGTAGATACCACACGTGTATCCATTCAGCCGTGAGTTGATGGACACTTGGACTGTTTCCATTATTGACAGTTTGGCCATCGTGAATAATGCTGCGGTGAACGCTGGCGTCCAAGTGTCTGTTTGCATCCCCTCTTCCAAAACTTTGAGTGTGTACAGAGGAGTGGCACTGCTGGGTCCCATGGTGATTCTGACTTTCTGAGGAGCCACCAAGCTGTTTTCCACCTTGGCCATCCTTTTCCCACCAGCAATACACGCGTGTTCCCTTTCACTACGTCCTCACCAACACTCGTTTTCCTGAGGACAGCCATCCTAGAGGCAGTGAAGGGGGGTCTCACTGTGCTGTTAGTTTGCTTTTCCCTAATGACTGATGGGGGCCCTGGTGGCGCAATAGTTAAGAGCTCAGCTGCTAACCAAAAGGTCGGCAGTTTGAATCCACGAGCTGCTCCTTGGAAACTATATGGGGCAGTTCTACTCTGTTCTGTCTGGTTGCTATGAGTCAGAATCGACTGGACGGTAACGGGTTTGGTTTGGTTGAATGATGACCTTAAGCATCTTTTCATGGGCTTGTTGGCCATTTGTATAAGTTCTTGCTGCACAGCAGATTAGGGCGGCCAGTCCCTTGTAGTCATGGATCATAATTTGCTGGGCAATTCCAGTGTCTGGCTTGGTCAGTCTCTCAGGTTAACTGCTATCACTAAACCTCTTTTCTGTGATGTTTGAGGAGAGTTGTTAGTTGCCATTGAATTGGTTCCGACTCTTGATGATCCCATGTATAATGGAAAAAAATGCTGCCTGGTCCCAAGCCATCCTCATGGTTGTGATTTGTGGGGTTTTTGTTGTCTAATTTTCAGAAGTAGATCACCACACTTTGCTCCTAGTCTGTCTTAGTCTGGATGCTCCGCTGAAACCTGTCTACCATGTGTGACCCTGCTGGTATTTGAAATACTGGTGGCAGAGCTTCCAGCATCACAGCAACACACAAGTCACCACAGTACCACACACTGGTAGACGAGTGGTGGGCACCGAGGCATGGGTGCTGTTTTGCATAAATCGAGGACTGACTTTCAGATTATCCGTGGGGAGTTTTCCAGTCATAACATGGGGTGCAAAACACCTTGGCCAGGGACATGTGTGTGTTGCATATATATTCTCTTCCTTTCCATGTGAGGATCATACCACTTTTTCTTTAGGACAAAAGAAAGGAAACTCTTGTCTCGGGATTGTTATCTGAAGGTGGTATCGCAGTAATTGTACCTGGAAAGAGGCTGTGTTGATTCCTGTAGATATTTTTCGTAAGATGAATACCACCCAGTATGTATAATAAAAGGAGCCCTGGTGGTGCAGTGGTTAAGCGCTCGACTACTAACCGCAAGGTTGGCAGTTCAAACCCACCAGCTGCTCTGTGGGAGAAAGATGTGGCAGTCTGTTTCTGTAAAAATTTACGGCCTTGGAAACCCTATGGGGCAGTTCTACCCTGTCCTGTGGGGTCGCTATGAGTCGGAATCAACTTGATGACGGTGAGTTTATGTATAATAATGAATGTGGAAGATAAATACCTTCCGGTAAAGGCCTTTAGTTACAGCTTTATTTATTTATTTATTTTAAATTATGATACTAATTGAATATTTACAAATGTAATACCAGGTACAAACTTTTTTTTTTGAGCTCTTATACAACTTATCAAGCTGAAGATTTACCAATTAAATGCAAACCAGTAAAATTTAAAATACCATAAATTTAATATTTAATGATATTCTGCTGTAACAAAATGAGAGACGCTGGATTTAATAATAGAAAGACATACTGTATTTTTATGCAAATAATGCACACCTTCTACATTTGTTTGTCAGTTGTGCCCTCCTCCCCCCGCCCCGAGGTATTTTCCTAAGCACCACTATGCCAATTTTTTAAATGTGTTCCTGTACAAAAATTAGCATGGTGCCCTTACAACAATACCTTGTAGGGGGAGGGCGCGGTTGGCAAACATGTAGAAGGTGTGCATTATTTGCATAAAAATATGGTAATTTCAGGCACACTTCTTTAATCATTTTTTTGTTTTTTAAATCTTTGACAATTCTTCTGTAGATGTTGTAATGAATTGAATTGTGTCCCTCAAAAACATATGTCAACTTGGTTAGGCCACGATTCCCAGTATTGCGTGGTTGTCCTCCGTTTTGTGATCTGATGTAATTATCCTCCATTTTGTAATGTGTAGTAAATTCTAGCCTCTATGCCTGTGGTTATGGTCTCACTGGGAGTGAGTTGTCCGTTGTGTTAATGAGGCAGGATGAGGGTGGGATGTATCTTGAGTCACCACCTTACTAGAGGACATACTCACGTCACCACTCTTAGCCCAGTCACCACACTTACCACCCTGATTCAAGTCACATCCTTACTTGAGTCCCGCCTTTTATCGCACAAGAGATAAAAGGGGAGAAAGAAGTAAGCAGAGATAGGATCCTCAATACCACCAAGAAGAAGAGATAGGAGCGGAGCACATCCTTTGGACCTGGAGTCCCTGCACTAAGAACCTCCTAGAATGAGGAGACACAGAGAGGGGGAACTCCAGAGGCAGCGTGAGATGGTGAGAAGCAGTGACAGAGAAACGGAAGCAGCAGAACCAGGAGATCGGCGTGAGATGATGTGGGAGCTGACTCAGAGCGAAAACGCTGAGTGGCTTCCGGCAGGAGGCTTCCTGGTGGAGTAGGGTGCCTCTGGGCACTTATCGGTGGAACAGAAGAGCTTCGTAACCCTTGCCCAAGCAGGGCAGAGGCCGGGCCCGGGGCCAAGCTTCAGAGGGAGGCTAACCCCCGTGGATACTGAGGGAGGACCATGTTGCGTAATACAACGCATGTGCCATATATTGCATGATATCCCAGTGGAGTCTGGGGCAACATTTTATATTAAAATGCTGTCATATTTCTCTAGCAAAATGTATGGATATTCTCACAAGATGGGATGAAGACTACAAATGTCTTCATAATTCCTCAGGTCGGGTTTCGCTTTTAAATTATTTTCAAAGATGCTTTGGATTTTGAAACTGGATAAGGAACTGTGAACTTGCACTACTGTGAGGCGTCTGATGACACAGTTCTCCCACCGTTCCATTCACTTTCTGTTTGAACCTCCATAAAATTTGAATTTGTACTGAGAGCTGCCACATGGGCCTTCACCTGGTGTGACTGTAAAACACACAGGTGTTGAAATCGTGGGACAGCAGAAGATGACAACGGGAACATCATTCTCTCCCTGGGAGTTTTTGACCCATCAACAATGTCTTTGGATGCCCTAAACCTCCCCTTGCAGGTGACTCCCATCAGTAAGCAGACATAGCGGGATAATTCTAGGAACTGTGATTTATGCTTGTTGGTACTAAGTAAGGGAGTGACAACAACACATTGTTTATTGGGGGACTTGAGAAGGTTAATTTTTTTATGCATCTTTACATGTTTTGTCTGAACATAATCTTACGTTTATAATATATGATTTTTAATTGTATCTCATAACTATTTTGCTCTGTGCACATCAAAAGAAATTCAAAGTTTTAAATGGAATTACTTTTGTTTCGTAGATGGACAACCTGAAACATATAAATCAGTTAAAGAAGGCAAACGAACATGCCCAGGGGAAAATAAAGTTGTTGATGAAATCCTGTAAACAGCTGGAAGGGGAAAAGGAAATGTTGCAGAAGGAGCTGTCTCAGCTTGAAGCTGCCCAGGCAAAGCAGAACGCAGGTGGGCTTGACGGGGGGCAGATCGGTCAGCCAGCATCGTTTCGCAGGAGTGAAATAGCACGCGTTCGGTGTGCGAGGATTAGGGTGTTTTTCGTTCTCTGGTACTGAGTGCTGATTTCTAGCAACTATCCATCTTCCAATTTCTGAATTTTGTACTCAGCTTGGGATCACGGGATTCAGAAGGAAGCTTGCATTTTGACATAGGATTATCACATCTACTCTGTAAAACACACAGGCAGCTGCCTGGTTATGAGTTGTCTCAAGAAGCGTTGTGCGTGTGGATGTACATTGAAGCATTTTCTATATCAGAGGCAGACTGGCATGTGAGCTGGTTCCTGGCAATTGATAAACAGCGGATTTTGGTTCTCCTTGGCCCGTCCTGGTGGGTCAGCTACAGGGACAAGACAGGGGACTTCAGTTGTGGGCGTGTGGGCGAAATACAAAAGAAAAGAAATGACATCTGTCCTTGTCACTGTGCCCCACCTCTGCCTCCAGAGCAAAATCCTCTCTCTCTGGGTCGGTGACCCCTCTGGGACCACGGGGTGCAGGGTGGGTCGTTAGTCTTCCCTGTGTGGAAGGGAGTGTGGAGTAGCTTGGGGTTTCAGGAAGTCTTTCTAATGGATTTAATGCCAATCACGGCAGCTAATAGTCAACCAAGACTCCACTTTCTAAAGTCTGCCTCATAAGCGCAGGATCTGTTGTCTCCAGATGGTTTGCAGAGCTTCCTTGGGTCTAACTTGGCTCCCTCCTCTCTCCCACAGCCTTTAAGAGCAGACTTCTTATTCTTTACAGAATTTTGCTGTCCATTCACACATGGTGGAAAGAATGGACAGGGAAGACAGAAGAAGGCGTAATAAATCAGTTAATTCCCATATACTGGTGGCTCTGGAGGAAAATAGGATGGGTTGGCTGAAGTACGAGTTTGGTGGATTTTATTTATTTAAGCTACTGCAGTAAGAGTTGTATAATCCATCAGAATACACACCTTGATACGTTGTTGTTGTTAGGTGCTGTCGAGCTGATTCCAACTCATAACGACCCCACGTGACAGAGTAGAACCGCCCCGTAGCGTTTTCTTGGCTGTAATCTTTATGGAAGCAGATTGCCAGGTCTTTCTCCTGCAGAGCCACTGGGTGGGTTCAGCCGCCAACTTCTGGTCTAGTAGCTGAGTGCTTAACTATTTGTGCTGCCAGCGCTCCTTGTACCCTGATATGATACCTTCCCCATGAAACAAACAAATCAACAACCCAAGAATGGTGTGATGCTATCTTTTTTCACAATGGCCAGCGTTCACGAGAGAAGCGCCAAGCTACTTGTGTGTGACGTGTGACTTCGTTTTTGATAGGTACAGTCGTGGATGCTAACGTAGATGAACTAATGACTGAGATGAAGGAACTGAGGGAAACTCTTGAAGAGAAGACCAAGGAGGCAGAGGAATACCTGGATAAGTACTGTTCCCTGCTCATAAGCCACGAGAATTTAGAGAAAGCTAAGGAGATATTAGAAACACAAGTTGCTCGTCTTTCTCAACAGTCTAAATGTAATCTCCAAAGTTCTCCTTTGCTAAATTCAATTGTTCCAGAACCATCTCCAGCCCTGTCTGTTACTGAAAGGAAGTTATCCAGCGGCCACAATAGGGCTTCAGCCAAGAGGCAGAGGTCGAGTGGAATTTGGGAGAGTGGTGGGGGATCAGCACCTTCCACACCAGAGACTTTTTCTAAAAAGAGTAGGAAAGCCTCCAGAAGCGGTGTTCACTCTGCAGGGGACATGGAAGACATTGACTTTGAGCCAGAGGGGCTTCCAGAAGTTGTCAAGAAAGGTATGCCTAGTTTGAAAACAAACTCACTTGTGCCATTTTGAAATCACAGAGTGTAAAGCTAAGTCACATGTGAGACAGATGTGTGTAGTTTTTGGGTTATTATGCAACATGACTAATTGACCTTTAGAAAAGGTAGTTCACTTGTAAAGTGGTTTTTTATATAAAATGTGTTTTTCCTTCCCTTTTTACTACCACGAGAGAATTAACTAATATCTAATTATTCGTGTCACACTACAAAAAGAGCTGGTAGGTTTGAACTACAACTGTCAAAAATCAGATCAGAGCTTGATGTTTCTGTGTTGAAATCTCCCCAAGCCAAGGACAGCCTTGAAGCTTTCCCAGCTTAAGTCACCTCTGATCCCAGCGTTAAGACACCAGGTGAGCTGGGGATGGTACTGATGATGCTGGCTCCCGGCTGGAGGCACTTACCACCCTTTTCTTTCTTTTTTTTTTTTAAACTCAGTGCTTCTCCAAGTGTGGCCCACGGACCTGGGCCCATCTAGAAACCGTTTATTAAACTGGTCCGTGACAAAAGAAGGACAGAACTCGGGCATAAGAGTTTAGGAAATTTCATGGCAACCTGACATTGTTGCAACATCCAAAAGCATAGTCATTTTTCTATTGATTTATTCGGATTGTATTATTACAAAAGTCTCACTGCTCAATGGATTGGAAATTATATACATACATAACATGAATGAGTGGACTTACAACTGATTTTTTTTTACCATGGATAGTTTGAGAAACAGTGTTCTGAGTAACTCTAGCTCCAAAATAGTTACATTGTCCTTCTTATTGCTGATTTTAGAAGGCCCCAAATCCCTGCTTTAGTTAGCCGTTAACGCTGCTCTGGAGTCTGTGTGGTATATGCTGCTTTTCGGTATTCCTGGGACTGACTTCCTCCTCTCGTCATCAAAAGTCATGTCAGTTCCTGCTATGGAAGGAGCTGAGCAGCAAGAGTGAAATCACTCTTCACAAGGTCCTGTCACTCCCGCAGCCCAGCCTCTAAAGGAGAGTGGCCGTCTACACTGGCGGGCAAGCCGCCTTAGTACCTGCTGGCACTCCACCTTCCCCTCTGAACAAGGACCCGCCTTTCTGTTTATTTTTCCCTTCGTTTACCCCCTCTTCAATCCACATTCTCTCTGTAAGGCCCGCTGCTGTTCTTCAGATCTTAGAAAAACGTGAAGTTAACCACACAGAAGAAGCAGCAGCAGAAATTTTTTTTTCTCTCTGCTTTTTTGTTTTTTATTGTACTTCAGGTGAAGGCTTACAGAACAAATAGTTTCTCATGAAACAATAGTACACATATTGTTTTATGACTTTGGTTAACAACCTCACAACATGTCAACCCTCTAACTTCTCAACCCTTTTTTTTTTGGTGAAAATACACATAGCCAAAGATACACCATTTCAAAAATTTCTAC